GCCGCGACAGGGCGGCAGCAGGGCAGGACCGCGACAGGGCGGCAGCAGGGCAGGGCCGCGGCTGGACGGCAGGGTAGGGCAGGGCCGCTACGGGCCGTTAGGGCAGGGCCGCGACGAGTAGCGGCAGGGCAGAGGCCGCGGGTGGCGGCAGGGCAGGGCCGCGACGGGCCGAGAGGGCAGGGGGCCGCGACGGGCCGAGAAGGCAGGGGGCCGCGACGGGCCGTTAGGGTAGGTGGCCGCGACGGGCCGAGAAGGAAGGGGGCCGCGACGGGCCGTTAGGGTAGGGTCGCGACGGGCCGTTAGGGCAGGGCCGCGACGGGCCGAGAAGGCAGGGCCACGACGGGCGGTTCTAGGGCAGGGCGCGCGATGGCGCAGGTGAGGCAGGCGCGAGGCGCGCTTCGGGCAGGGCAGGAAAAAAAAATCGTGGTGGGCCCTAAAAAAACGTTCCCGCGAGGGAACCTGCTCAGAATACCATGTCAGAATAGTGAAAGGAATGACTGAATTAGCAAGCAGGTGGGTACAAGTAGGAAACCTAAAAGTGTTGTACCCTATATGAACTACCCCACTACAGCCTAGACAGACTATAGTATATATATGTTTGACACACCCCCATAGGCAAAGTGGGGGAGAACAAGAGGTCACAAGACCGGTCAAGAAAGGCAAAGCAAGCTCAGGGTGGATCACGATGTCACCACGCATTCTGAGCACAAGCAAATGGCTACAAGGCCAGTTCACATGCAGGGTTATATAAAGAAGAACAAACAATATAGTGAACACAACCTAACGAGTGTAAGCATGCAGGTATATGTATAGAGATCACAGTACAAGCAGAGTCAAGAAGTGAGCAAGTGAGGCCAAGTAGGCACAAGACCTAGCATAGTACAAAAGCGCTGATGATCACAAGGCTGAAGTGCCTTGGTAAAGATATCAACAGTGTTGCCCTGAGTGGCCACGTAAGCAAGACGAAGCTGACCACGCTGCTGCAACTCTCGAGCAAGGAAGTAGCGCAGAGCAATGTGCTTCGTTCTGTGCTCCAGTCTGTGCTCCTGACACAAGGCAAGCATGGCCTTGTTGTCGACGTACAGAACTGGAGGTGAACGAGGCGCCTCTCCCAAGTCGGTCAGCAGGTAGGTGAGCCAGCGTAACTCCTGTGCAGCCATGGCCCCAACGTAGATCTCAGCCTCACAACTGGAGCTGAGAACAGAAGACGAGCAGGTAGACCGCCAAGAGACAGAGCCGAAGCCAAGGCTGAAGTTGTAGCACTGTGACGACCGCTGCGTAGCCAAGTCGTCAACCCAGGAAGCGTCTGCGTGACCAGTGAGGACAACTCGAGCCCGTCCTCCAAGCACGGGTCCTTCGAATGCACTGTGATGCCATTCGGGCTGACCAACGCACCGGCGACTTTCCAGATGACCATGAACGAGGCGTTAAGGCCATAGTTAGATAAGTGTGTGATAGTTTACCTTGACGACATCCTCGTCTACAGTCGTGATAAGCAGCAGCATTTAGCAGATCTGGAAGCAGTTTTTAAAAATTTAGACGAGCACCGACTACTGACCAAAGGTTCCAAGTGCAAGTTTTTTCAGGACAGGTTAAAGTTTTTGGGCCACGTTATTTCGGAGGCTGGAGTTGAGATCGACCCAAAGAAGCTGGACACGGTGAAAGCATGGCACCCCCCGACAAATATCACGGAGCTGCAGAGTTTTTTAGGGTTCGTTAATTATGTGCGTCGGTTTGTCCCCGTCATGGCGCGGTTAACAACCCCACTGACGGATCTGCTACGGAAGGGGGTCGCTTTTACGTGGGGGGAGAAAGAACATGCTGCCTTCTCTGCCCTGAAAACTGTTCTCTGTTCACCGCCCGTACTGCGCATCGCCGACCCACACCGCCCTTTCGAGGTAGTTATAGACGCAAGCGATATCGCCATTGGAGCTGTACTGCTTCAGAGTTCGGCAACGGTTTACAGCCCATTGCATACGAGTCACGAAAACTACATCCGCCCGAGAAGAATTATCCGATACACGACCGCGAAATGCTTGCGATCGTACATGCGTTCAAAGTGTGGCACTGTTTCTTGACCGGCGCAGACGTGAGAGTACGGACAGACCACAAATCCCTACAGTACCTACGCGCACAGCCCCACCTCAACCCACGACAGATCCGCTGGCTAGATTTCCTCGAGTCAAACTTCCATTACACGGTCACCTACAAAAAAGGGGCATCGAGCATTGCCGACGCACTGACCCGCCCTAATGCCCAAATCCACGCCATACTACTCGCCCAGACCAGCCCGCTATTAACAAGACTATTTACCCATGGCTATCAAACTGACCCGTTCTTCACAGGTGGAAATTCGCAGCAGCAAAGGGGGTTTATTACGTAAAAGCTGGCAGCAACCGCATCTGGGTACCGGGCTACACTTTACTAAGGGAGCTGTTTCTTCAGGAGGCATACGACGGGGTTACCTCAGGACATTTTGGAGTAGAGAAAACACGGCAGCAGCTGCAGCGGTATTACTACTGGCCCGAAATGCTGACCGACGTGCAACGACATGTGGCATCATGTCCCACCTGCCAACTCATGAAGTCATCACAGGACAGTTGCAGCCGATACCACCCCAAGAGTGTGCTTGGCAGCAGGTGACGATGGACTTCGTCATGGGGTTACCGGCTGGAGCAAGTGGGAATGACGCGATCCTGGTCGTCGTCGATTGGCTGACGGAAATGGCACATTTCGCAGCCTGCAAGAAAACGATCACAGCCGAAGAAACAGCCCGCCTCTTCATCTCCACCGTCGTTCGCCTGCACGGGATACCAGCATCGATCATAAGCTACCGCGATACGAAATTCACCAGCAACTTCTGGCGGAACATGTGGCAGCAGTTCGGCACACGGCTACAGTTCAATTCTTCGTACCACCCCGAGACCGACGTGTCAAAACTTAGTTAGGAGGCATGGCTAGGGTTTGAGTGTCGAGAGAGTTTAGGCAAGGGGAACGAGAGTAGCGAGAGGTGTTGGCCAACAAAAGGGGTTCAATAATGAGAAACAGTACAAGGATATAGGCAAGAACCAAGAATGGTGCACCACCGACAGTTTATGATAGCTACACCAAACTACAGCTACAGGCAGTTACATATATATATTCCAACACGGCGGGCAGACAGAACGGACAAACAATGTGCGACGACTCGACCACCTGGGAACAGCAACTGCCACTCATCGAGTTCGCGTACAACAACTCGCCATCCGCCACGACCCAACAGTCACCGTTTTTCCTGAACTACAGACAAGATCCCACAATACCCATGACTCCGAATCCTGACAACCCAGTGCCACGCGCGCAACAGTTCGCAAAGATTTTACAAGCAGCACGGACCCGAGCAAGAGACGCAATAAAAAAAATCAAACATCATCGCTCAGTGTAACGCCGACCGCCACCGCCAACCCGTCATTTACTAGCCCGACGACCTCATGCTACTCGACACTCTAAACCTCCGCATGCCAATCACCCCAAAACTCCGCCCCCGATATTGGCCATTTCGCATCAGCCACATGACCACACCCGTCACCCCCCACCTCCTCCTCCCTGCTGACTGGTACGTCAGCCCGTCATTCCACGTCAGCCTGCTTCGCCCATACGTGCCATCCACCAGCCAACTGCCTCGCAACCGCCCTGCCAGCATGACTTGGCCGCCGACAGAACCATTCATCACGCCCGAAAAAATACTGAGCCATTGAGTACGTGACCCACGGGGAGCCCGCAGGATCGAATTCCTGATCCGTTGGAAAGACCGCACGCCCATCGAAGATATATGGGTTCCACTGGATATAATTTAGAATCACCCTGTCCTTACTGAGTATCTGCGCAGCCGAAATTTTCGAGATGTACACGCGCTCTCGTAAGGAGGGTCTCCTTGGGGAGGGGGGTAGTGTAAGAAAAATCCATTTTCCTTACTTCGCGCCCCTGCTTACCGCGTACAAGACCATTCCCGCCATCGATACCCAACAGTGAAACGTTACCCGCTCGCGACACTCGCCTCGAGTACGACTCCCGCCACTGTTCACGATGCGACCCAACCTCACGGTTCGGTTGGTAACCCGCGCTCCGGACCTCCGCCTCGACATATCCCAACCTCGGCGCTAGGCCCTTAGCGCACCTCAATTTCTCGCGTTACCGTTACCACTCAAGTTCTCTATATATTCTTCTCTCATGCCTTCACTCATTGTTCTGTTTTGCTTCGATAGTGCAATTCTCGCTCGCTCACTCAATTGCACTCGTAACACCACCAGTCATCCTCCTGCTACACTCCCTTTGCCCAGCCCAGCCTCACCGTTCTGTCCACCAACCTCACCACAGGTGACGTTTCTCGAAGCAATCATCTGAGTCGAGTCAATATCGGAATACCCTGATGTAGCAGTCAAGTCTGTTGAGTTGAGATTATCCACCTCGAAGTATCCACGCATCCAGATGAAACCGCTCGGACGAGTCAAGATAGTAGATACTAGTGCCGGCCGACTGCAAGGCACATCTTCGACCCTTCGAACGCTTCGCGTCTAGTTTCTAGCTCGTAGAATGTCGTAGAAGCTCCTAGTTACTGCGATGTTGGAGTTCTAGGAGTCGAAAGCATTCGCATGGCTGGATCGCATGCAAGCGCGCCTTCTCCTGCGTGCAACATGTTAGAGCCTTCGGTCGTTCATCACTTCTAGCGCGTAGCAGCTCGTGCTGACCGGGATGTAGGAGCGGTGGTATTCAAAAGCATTTCCGTGGTTGGTTTGTGTGCGAGCTCGCAGTGACCGCCGTGCAGCATGGTAAACCCAGTCTTACCTCCGGGGGACTGGCGGGTTTTAACCCTAAACCGGCGGGGTCTCATAGTAGCTCGTACTGACCGCCGTGTAGCATTCCGAAACCGTTTGTACCGCTCTAACTCGTAAAGACCGCCATATAAGATTTCGAAACCGTCTACTTGGCATCAACTGATCGCCATGCACCGTTCACCCTCCATGCCAGCTGCCGCATATGGCGGAGCCACGTCATTGTTGTCCACGTCACCGCCTCCAGGTCAAGCAGACGGCTTTTCTTACGTCAGTCCTGCCGGCATCGACGTCACCGCAACCCGTTCGGACCCCTCATCCATATCAAACCTCTCCCGAACCTCCACCGGACCTCCGCTCTCCCAAGCTTCTACCGGGCGGTCTCTCTCCCGAGCCTCCAGCGGAGGCTTGAGCAGCAGCAGCTGGACCGGCGTTCCGCCTTGGGACTGGCCGGAGTCTCTAGCGCCCGCTTTCGTGGCGGGAGCAGCGGGCAACGGCGGCGGCGCATGGGGGACAGTGAATGGGTCAAGGGCGGGAGGAGGTGGCGCTGGGGAGGGTGCGCAGCAGCAGGGGGGATTGCAGGGAAAGCCAGCCCTGGGAATGCACTCTGTCGGCGGGTATATGCTCCCTGGGAGTGGGTATGGCGGGACTGTTGCTGGTGGGATGGGTGGATGGGGAGGGTCAGGGGCCTTCAGCGGAGGGGGAGGAGCAGGGGGCGCAGGCGGAACGGGAGGAGCAGTGGGAGCGGTGGAAGCAGGGGCAGGTGGGATTGGGATCGGAATAGAGGCAGGCGGATCAGGTCGTCAATCCTTCCTCGCAGCTTCCTCCACATCCCCTCCTACGTTCACCCGTTCACTCACCGACCCTCGCATCTTCGCCCCCCTCCAGGCCCCCTGGCACGCACCCGCGCTCTCCCCCTTTCCCGCTTCCGCCTCCCCCCCGCCTCCCCCTTCCGCCTACTCCCCGCCTCCCTCGTCCGCGTTTCCCCCGGGCTTCCCCCTGCCGTCCGTTGACCCCTTGTCCCCGCTGGGGGCGGGCGCGGACCTGCTGCTGTCCCCCACGCGCCCGCTGCCGGTGTGCCCGGCCAAGGGGCAGTGGGTGCGCGGCAGCCAGATCGGCGCAGGGGGCTTCGGGAAGGTGTTTCAATGCGTGAGGTGAGGTGGGTGGCATGGCATGGTAGGTTTCAATGTGTGAGGTGAGGTGGGTGGCATGGCATGGTAGGTTTCAATGCGTGAGGTGAGGTGGGTGGCATGGCATGGTAGGTTTCAATGCGTGAGGTGAGGTGGGTGGCATGGCATGGTAGGTTTCAATGCGTGAGGTGAGGTGGGTGGCATGGCATGGTAGGTTTCAATGCGTGAGGTGAGGTGGGTGGCATGGCATGGTAGGTTTCAATGCGTGAAAGGCAGTTGGCTTTGTTGTGAATGACTCTCATGCCTCCTCTCATGCAATCTGTCAGCATCTCGCCCCTCCCACATGCCTCCGTCCCATGCCCCTTAGTTGGTCATTTACGTTTACGTTTACGTACGTACGTGTACGGGTACGTACGTTTACGCGGCTGTTGGGTTGGAGGCCTAATGTACGGGCAAGTGAAAAAAGTTATGGGCTGCCCGAATATGTATATTTTTTCTATAGTACTCCCTCGTAATCATGATTTCCATCATATAGTGTAAACATTCCATTACAACCTTGTAATTTCCCAAATAACAAAAATACCATCATGCGAATTGGTTTGACTCGAAGTTGGGATTCGCCGAAACCAGTGAAGGTTGGCGTTGACGAAGCTGCGCGAAACAATCGCGATCTGAGTCAAACTGTTCGCAATGTTCTATCGCGAACAGTTTGTACACATTCAGATCTATTCCCACCACAATTTCCTCCCTCCCTCTCTCGACAGACTTAGCTATCGTAGTTCTACCGCCTTAGTCGACATAGTACGCAGGGTAGACGCCACACCATAGCAACCCTAGCTAGCAACCTTCCTGTTTCTTACATTACTACTTTGAAAAACGTCGTGCCGTACTAACACGCTAACAGAGCACAGGTCGTCGAAAGCTTTTTTCTTTTTTAGGTTTTCGGAAACCGTTTTCAAAGAATTTTCTAGGGGAGTTTTTTTTTTACCTGCCCGGCGTACGTACACGTACGTACGCGTACGTACACGTAAACGTACATGTACGCGTACGTTACGTGTACGTGGGCTGAAATGGCGTAAATGACCAACTTACCAACTTAGCCATGCCCCCCCGTGCAGCAGGATGACAGGAGAGGTGTTTGCAGTGAAGCAGGTGGCGCTGATGGCTCTAAGCCATCCCGGACCTGTCTGCTTCTCGCCCCCCCCCCACGCCCCCCCCCCCCCTGTGCCCTCTGTGCCCCTGCCGCTTTCCCCCCTGTGCGCCTGCATGTGCCCCCCGTGCAGCAGCATGAGAGGAGACGTGTTTGCAGTGAAGCAGGTGGCGCTGGATCGCTCCGATGGTTCTGCCTGCCTGCTTCCCGCGGCCACCCCACGCCCCCTGTGCCCTGCTACCCGCTCCCCCCCCCCCCAACCCCTCGTGCACCTTCGTGTTTCCCCCCCATTGCAGCAGCATGACAGGAGAGGTGTTTGCAGTGAAGCAGGTGGCGCTGGATCGCTCCGATGCTGACTTCAGGGGCGACCACTCCATCGAACAGCTCAAACAGGTGCTTGCGCGGGCAGATTAATCACATGGGGCGGGCAACCTGTGGTTGGGAAGGTCGAATGTGTGGGCGGGCAGCTGAAACAGCTGCCAAGTGAGCAAGCCATAAGATGTCTCTGCAGCTGGTCGTACTCGATTTGTTCTCTGCCTTGTGCTGCCTTGTGCTGCCATGTGCTGCCATGTGCTGTCTTGTGCTGCCATGTGCTGCCATGTGCTGCTTTGTGCTGCCTTGTGCTGCCATGTGTTGCCATGTGTTGCCATGTGATGCCATGTGTTGGCATGTGTTGCCATGTGTTGCCATGTTTTGCCATGTGTTGCCATGTGTTGCCATGTGATTCCATGTGTTGCCATGTGATGCACGGCCATCCTATACCATGCCGTCCTATCCCGTCCCGTTCCATCCCATCCCTTCCCATCCGATCCCATCCCATCCCATCCCATCCCATCCCATCCCATCACATCCCTTGCCTTCCCATCACATCCCATCCCATCCCATCCCATCCCATCCCATCCCATCCCATCCCATCCCATCCCATCCCATCCCATCCCATCCCATCCCATCCCATCCCATCCCATCCCATCCCATCCCATCCCATCCCATCCCATCCCATGCCATGCCACACCATGCGATCCCATGCCATGCCATGCCATGCCATGCCATGCCATGCCACCCCATGCCATGCCACACTGCACGGTGCAGGAGATCATGCTGCTCAGTCGCATCAACCACCCCAACATCGTGCAGTACCTCGGCTGTGAGATTGTGAGTTCCCTCCGCTGCCTCTCACCCTCTCAACCTGTCAGGGTGGGAAGGTGGGAGTGTGCGAGGGTGGGAAGTCGGGAGTGCGTATGGTTGTGAGAGTATGAGGGTGTGAGGCCGGGAGGGAGTGACGCTTCTCAGCAAGTATGTGGCCCTGGGAGCCACTGCCACCTAGTGTCTGATTCCCCCACCGCACTTAACCGCACTCCACCGCATCCCACCGCTGCAGGACGACAAGTACCTGTACATATTCCTGGAGTACGTGGAGATGGGGTGCATCCTGAACGTGCCACAGCCACAGCCACCAAGCATCTGAATCCTCCACCGCATTTCACCACACTTTGACTAGCATCTAATCGCACTTCACCGCACCCCACCCCCCCAGGACGACAAGTACCTGTACATATTCCTGGAGTACGTGGAGATGGGGTCTATTCTGAACGTGCTGAAGAAGCTGCCAGTGCGCCCCCATGCGCTGCTCAGCAAGTATGTGCGGCAGGTGCTGCAGGGGCTCGCCTTCCTTCACTCCATGGAGTTCGTTCACAGGTCAGCAGCGGGAGGGGAGTGGGGAGGTGGGGGTGCAGGTGCCGCAAGGGCAGGTGAGTGGCAGGTGCTGCAGGGGCTCGCCTTCCTTCACTCCATGGAGTTCGTTCACAGGTCAGCAGCGGGAGGGGAGTGGGGAGGTGGGGGTGCAGGTGCCGCAAGGGCAGGTGAGTGGCAGGTGCTGCAGGGGCTCGCCTTCCTTCACTCCATGGAGTTCGTACACCGGTGAGAAGCGGGAGGGGAGTGGGGAGGTGGGGAGTGGGGAAGGTTGCGGAGTTGGGGATTTGGGAATGTGGTGATGCAAGTGTGACTGCTTTCCTCTCTCAGCAGCAGGTATGTGCAGTAGGTGCTGCAGGGGCTAACGTTCCTGCACTCCATGGAATTCTGAGACGTCTCAAAACTCGTTCCTGCATTGCACTCTTTGGAGTTGGTGCACCGGTGAGCGAGGAACAAGGTGGGAGGGAGACGGGACTTGTGTAGGTGCGCTTGCTTCCTCACCAGCAACGTGCGCCAGGTGCGGTGCAGGTGCTGCAGGGGCTCTCGCGTTCCTGCACTGCACTCCATGGAGTTGGTGCAGATTGGAGCGTGGCATGCGTGGCATGTGCGTAGCATGCACAAACACACCATCCCTCATCCACCCACACCCCTATACTGTGGTGGATAAGAGCGGAACCATCAAGCATCCACCCACCCATGCCTGTCATGCCATCACTCATCACTCACCCCACCCATGCGTGCGTGCGTGCATGGCATGGCATGCAGGGACATCAAGTGCAGCAACATCCTGGTGGATAAGAGCGGCACCATCAAACTCGCTGACTTTGGGCTCGCCAAGCATGTGCGTGGGGGGTGGGTCGTGGGTGAGGTGTGGGAGCGAGTGGGGGACACGTGAGTGAGTGGGGGGGCCTGCGTGTGTGTGAGTGAGTGGGGGTTGTGGTTGTGAGTGGGGGGGCGTGTGAGAGAAGTTGAGGCTTGTAGCACTACCTGTTCCTTCCTCCATCTCAGTGCTTCCTGCTCGTTTTTGAGAATTCTCAAAATCCATCTCTCCCCCCTTCCTCCCGTCCATCCCTCTTCACCTCCTCCTCTCCTCCCCTCCCCCGCTCCTCCTCCCCCTCTCCTCCTCCCCTCTCTCCCCCCCGCTCCATCTCCTCCCCTCCACCCCTCCTCTCCGCTTGACAGTACTCAGCATCGTTGGACATGACAGGCTGCCGGGGCACTGTCTGGTGGATGGCACCCGAGGTACGGTTCACCTGGGGTAGGTGATATCTGGGGTAGGTGTCATCTGGGGTGGGCGATATCTGGGGTAGTTGGTATCCGGGTTAGGTGTCATCTGGGGTGGGTGATGTCTGGATTTGGTAGAATTCACAGGATGGACCTACGTGCACTTTCCCCATCTCCTTTCCCCAAGGTGATCAATGCATCGGTCGGCTACAACTGGGCGGTGGACATCTGGCAATCAATCGCCTTGCCGGGCTGCAAGCTCGTTCCAACCCCTCTGTTCCTTTCCCCCCATTCTCCCTCCCATGCCATCTTCCCAAGGTGATCAATGCATCGGTCGGATACGACTGGGCGGGGGACATCTGGTCGCTGGGCTGCACCGTGATTGCAACCCCTTTCCTTTTATCCCCTCACCCTCACCTTACCCCCCCCACACACCAGGTGATCAACGCATCAGGCGGATACGACTGGGCGGTGGACATCTGGTCGCTGGGCTGCACCGTGATAGAGATGGTCACGCTCTGGCCGCCCTGGTTCCACCCCGCCTCCGGCTGCCCCATCTGGGGCCGCGGCTTCGGCCCTGTGAGTGCACACGCCCTTGCTGCTAACCCATGCCCCGTGTGCCCCGTATGCTGCCCACACAATGCGGCCGCCCTGGTTCCACCCCGCCTCCGGCTGCCCCATCTGGGGCCGCGGCTTCGGCCCTGTGAGTGCACACGCCCTTGCTGCTAACCCATGCCCCGTGTGCCCCGTATGCTGCCCACACAATGCGGCCGCCCTGGTTCCACCCCGCCTCCGGCTGCCCCATCTGGGGCCGCGGCTTCGGCCCTGTGAGTGCACACGCCCTTGCTGCTAACCCATGCCCCGTGTGCCCCGTATGCTGCCCACACAATGCGGCCGCCCTGGTTCCACCCCGCCTCCGGCTGCCCCATCTGGGGCCGCGGCTTCGGCCCTGTGAGTGCACACGCCCTTGCTGCTAACCCATGCCCCGTGTGCCCCGTATGCTGCCCACACAATGCGGCCGCCCTGGTTCCACCCCGCCTTTCGGCTGCCCCATCTGGGGCTGTGGCTTCGGCCCTGTGAGTGCACGCAAGAAAATACCCCCCCCCCCCCCCCCCCCCCCCGCTATTAACCCCTCAACCACACGACTCCGGGCTTTGCACCATCCCCCCACCTGCGCCACCCCCCACCTGCCCCACCCCCCACCTGCGCTTTTTCCAACCCTCATTCTCCAACTTTAGCTCTCTACCTCCTACCGTCTTCCTTCTTCTGCTTCCATCATCCCTCCCTCCCTTGCGCTCTTTGTTTGTTTTGTTCAACTGCCCTCTATCATCGCCCATGCACACCACGCGCACCATGTGCACCATGTGCCTCATGTGCCCCATGCGCCTCATGTGCCCCATGCGACTCATGTGCCCCATGCGTCTCATGTGCCCCATGCGTCTCATGTGCCCCATGCGTCTCATGCGCCCCATGTGTCTCATGCGCCCCATGCGTCTCATGCGCCCCATGTGCCTCATGCGCCCCATGCATACCTTGCATGCCCCACCGTGTCCCCCATTCACCCATTTCCCTCACCACCATACCAGGAAACGGTCTTCATGAATAGCTGGAACGCAGGTGCCTAGGCCCCATCCCACCGGGCCTATCAGAGGATCTGGCAGACTTCATCACGTGCTGCCTGCACCTCTCTCCACCCCCACTGCATCCCCCTCCCACCTCTCTGCTGCCCCACTGCACCCCCCTTACCAGGAAACGGCCTTCATGAAGATCGCAGGAACGCAGGTGCCTCCGCCCATCCCCCCCGGCCTGTCGGAAGATCTCGCAGACTTCATCGCCAGCTGTCTGCACCTCGACCCGCGCCGCCGCCCCGCTGCCACTGCCCTGCTGCGCCACCCCTTCGTGCTCGCGCACTCCCCCTAGTAAGAAGCCGGCCTCCGCCCCCGCCCCCACTTCCTGCCATCGCTCTCTTGAGGCACCCCTTTGTGCTGTCGCACACCCCTTCATTTGGTCCCATTGTGGGAAGGCTACCGAAGCTCGTTTTTTTATTGATGGCAGTTCAGCATGCCCTCGCACTCTCCTTCCTCCCTTGCTGAGTTTGGAGGCGCGTCTATGTTGTAAGTATTTTTATCATAAGACCCAATATCCTTCACCAAGTGCTATTTTTAGTACAACGCTACATTCCACCTCATTCTCTCCTCGTGCTCTCTTCCCATTCCTTCCCCTGCCATATCTCCGTCTTCTAAATCTTTCGTCCCTTTCTCTCGTCTCCTCTTGGTGCTTGTTCCCTCCCCTGCCTTCCTCCCTCACCTCCCCTCCCCCCTCTACCCCACCCACTCCCCCACCCCTTCCCCCAGCTCCTCCCCTGCATCATCACGAAACCCTCAGGTGTACCCGCCGCTTCCCACCACCATCTCCACCACCTCCCACCGCTCTTCATCCCACTCCTCTCGCCTCTCCTCGCCCTCCCAGGCCCCCCTTGAGTTCTCTCACAAGCCCCGCTCCTCCTCCCGCTCCTCCTCCTCCCTCATCTCCTCCCCCTCCCAGGCGCCTGCTCCCTTCCTCTTCCCCCCCTCCTCCTCCATAAGCCCACAGTCAGAGTCCGCCCTCGTTACTGTCACATCGCATGGGCAGGAGGGGCAGATGCAGCAGGGGCAGACGCAGCAGGGGCAGACGCAGCAGGGGCAGACGCAGCAGGGGCAGACGCAGCAGGGGCAGACGCAGCAGCGGCAGACGCAACAGGGGAAGCAGGCACAGCAGCAGCACTGGGCGCAGCAGCACTGGGCGCAGCAGCAGGAGAAGCAGCAGGAACAGAGACGAAGCTCCAGTTTGCAAGAACTCGCTTCAAACCCCTCCCCACCTGCACTCCTCCCTCCTCCCCTCCTCGCCTCACACCCCCCACACTCCACATCCCCTTCTCCTTCTGCCCAAACCGCCCACCCCGTTTCCATCTTTTCAAAATCCTCCTCGGTTCCCTCCGCCCCCTCCGCCCCCTCCGCCCCCTCTGCCTCATCAGCGTCCACTGCGTCGTCCCCACTGGGGAACCCCAGGCTGCAGTCGTCGCGGTGGGCAGATGTGTCTGCTGCCACGCCTCATGCACCCACTGCTGATGCACCCACTGCTGCTTCACTGCTTCACACTCACGCTGTGCCTGCTGCTCCACCTCAGGCTGGGGCTGGGACTGGGGTTGGGACTGGGGCTGGGGTTAGGGCTGGGGCTGGGGTTGGAGTTGGGGTTGGGACTGGGGTTGGGGTTGGTTTGCAAGGAGGTGGGGGGTCTGGTTCCCTGGCCCCCTCACTCCTCATCTCTTTGCCTCCCTTCCCACTCCAAGCCAACCCCGCTGCAGCTGCTGCCGGCGGTGTAAAGCCAGAGGAGCGGGAGAGAGAGCGGTGGTGGGAGAAGCATGGAAAGGCTATGCAACGAGAGGAGAGAGAGAGGGGGTGTGAGGAGGAGGAGGGGGGAAGTGTGCAAGGAGGGCAGGGAGAGGGGGCGCAGCGAGGTGTGATAGAGGGGGAGCAGAGGGGGCAGGGAGGGGGAGCGCAGCGAAGGCTGTTGGAGGCAGCAGCAAGGGCAGCAGCAAAGGCAGCTAGAGAGTGGAGGGAGGGAGGAAGTGACGTGGCACTGGATGCTGACCTGGCAGTGGCGCCTTCTGACGGTGATGGGGATGGTGGACATGAGGGGAGAGGTGCAAGTGAGCAGAGTGGGAGAACGAAGTGGGAGGAGAGTGAGAAGAGGAGCGAGAGAGGAAGTGTGACGGGAAGAGGGAGTGAGCGTGAGAGCAGGGAAGAGAGTGGGAGGGAGAGTGGGCGGGAGAGTGGGAGGGAGAGTGGGAGGGAGAGCCGCAGCGGCAGGGCGAGCAGCAGAGCGAGCAGTCGGGGCAGTGAGGGCGCTAGCAGTCCCAGCCACAAGCGGGGCAGGTCAACGCGGGAAGGCAGGTCAACGCGGGAACATAAGGCAAACCGTGAAGGCAGATCATCTGGGGAAGGCAGGTCGCCTAGGGAAAGCAAATGGCGCTTTCCCCTCTTTGGTAGGTCCAGCAGCTGGGCAGGGGCAGGGCGGAAAGATGGTGAGGCAGGAGCAGGGCAGATGGATGGGGGGCAGGGGACTGGGCTGAATGGGAATGGATGCGAGGCGGCAGGAAAGGGCGATGAAGAGGGGGGGAAAAGGGGCCGGATTGGCATGAGTGTGAGGGAAGGGTTAAAACGGGATGGAGGGGCGGAGGCAGCACATGCGGGAGAGAGAGACAGTGTGCTGGGAGGAGGGTTGGAGAGAGATGGAGGGGGGGATGAGGCTGAGAGTGAATCTGCTGCACCTCCCTCCTCTCCCCGCCGACTTACATCCCCCTCTTCCCCCTCCAACTCCGTTCCATCACCCCCTGCTCCTCTCTCTCCCCCTGCTTCACCCTTCCCTGCCTCTCACCCACTCTCTCTCACCCCTGCGAACCCACTCCAGAGAAACAATCCCGTCCACCACCGCTCCTCACTCATCCCCCTCCCAGCACCCACCATCAAAGTCATGGATCCCATTGTACCTCACCCCACCGCACCACAATCCACTGTACCTCAATCCTCCGCACTGCAACCCACCGCACCACAACTCACTGCACCGCATCCAGTTGCCGGTGAGCCAACTCAGAGTGGGCGGGCGGATGCAGGCTCAGATGTAGGCCACTCAGATGGAGAGCGCCGCAGAGTGCCAAGGAAGAACGCTGCAGCTGCAACAGCCCTTCGGATTGCAAGGTCGATTTCAGCTTCACATGTAGAAAGGGAGGATCTTGCTGCGGCGGCGGCTCAGATTGGTACAGCGGAATCAGCCTCAGATGCAGACATTACAAGGCAGAGGCAGGGTGGTGGTGAGAAGAAGGGGCGAGAGAGAATGCGCGAGACAGCGTCCCTGTGGCAGAAGTTCCAGGCGTTGAAGGTGGGGGGAGGGGTGCCCAGTGGGGAAGCAGTGTCACGGCCAAGCAGTGGGGAAGCAGTGTCACGGCCAAGCAGTGGGTCGCAGCAAGGGGATGCAGAGAGGCGAGGAGAAGCAGCGAGAGCGGGAGGTGTGGAGAGACAGCAGCTGGAATCGGGGAGAGGGGTGGCAGCAGTGCCACGGCCGACCAGTGCACTTTTCTCAAGGCCGGGCAATGTGTTGGAGCAGCAAGGCAGTGGGTTTGAGCAGTCTTCTTTTGAGGCGCCGCAAAAGCTGGCAGCAGCGTCACAGTCAACCAGTGCCCTTTTCTCTGTGCCTGACAGTGCGTTTGAGCAGCAAGGCCGAGCAGCGGGGGACACAGATACAGCAGTGTCAGGGCGGAATGGCACATCGGGTTCAGAGCAGGAAGGGGGATCAGTGATGCTAGCAGCGGAAGGGGGGGCGATGGAAGAGTTGGAGGATGTGCTGGGTCCTCCGAGCATTGTGGTTCCGCAGAGAAAGATTCTCAAACACTTCGTGCCGCTGCCCACTGCTGCTTCAGCTGCTTCTGCTGCGTCTGCTGCTGCTGCCGCTGCTGCCCCTCTGCACGCACCTGCTGCACCACTGCCTGCTTTTTCCGCTCCTGCTACTACTGCCACCACGCAGCACTCCTCCTCTGCCTCCCCTGAGACACTGTCCTCGCAACATTCCCTCTCCCAGTCCTTCCGCTTTGTCTCTCCTCCCTCCTTCCTGCCGCCCCGTTCCCCTGCTTTCTCCATCCATCCACAAACCACCACAGCCCCCACTGCTTCCCTCCCGCTCTCTCACTCGTCCTCGTCTCCTTCCTCTCCCTTCCCTTCCTTTCCTACGCCCCCCACCAACAGCTCTGTCTCTCTGACTGCTGCTACCGCCTCTCATTCCCCACCCACCTCCTTTACTGCCTCGCCTGATCAGACCCACACTGCTGCTGAATCCACTCTCCCTTCTCACCTGCCAACAACACCCTCAGCACCACCAGCACCATCAGCACCACCAGCACCATCAGCACCATCAGCACCACCAGCACCACCAGTGCCACCAGCAACCATGTGGGAAGGGGGAGCAAGCGTATTGGTCCCCACCATTCCGCAATCGTTCACCCCATCTCCACCTCCCACTTTCCCCTCACCATCCCCTTCTCAGACCACACTTGAGGCATTTCAAAAGCCATCTCCACCACCTGCTTCACCCTTCCCACCCCTCTCCACCGCACCATTGTTTGCATCATCTGCCCCGATCCCAGTTCCACAGCCCTCCCTTCCACTCCCCCCCTTCACACTCCCTTCTGTCCCTCACCTCTTCCCCCCTGCACCGTTCCCCCCCTCACTGCTACCTTCTCGTCCGCCCTTCCCTTCAGTATCCCCCTCTCCCCCGCCCGTCCCCACCACCGCCCTCCAGCCACCTACTCCCGTTCAATCAACCCCCCTGCAATCCAATCTCCTGCAATTTTCTTCCCCTCAAGGTGTAACCAGAAGCACAGGCACACACAGCAGTGCGCTTGCATGCAGCAGCACCTCTGACTCCGTGAGTGAGGGGCCTGGAGGGAGCGGGGAGGGGAGGGCGAGTGGTATTGGTGGGGAGGAGGGCGAGCAGCAGTTCTACCAGCGGAGCAGGCAGAGGAGGCGGAGGAGAAGTAGACAGGTGACTGTTTCACCTGTACGGGAGAGAAGTGGTGGAAGATCTGAGCAGAGCCAGCAGCAGCAGAGCCAGCTGCAGCAACAGGTTCAATGGGAGCAGATGCAGCAGGTGCAGCAGGCGTGGCTGCAGCAGCAGGCAGCTGTGATGCACCAGTGGATGACGCAGCAGCAGCAGATGATGCAACAGCTCCTGCAAGCGCAAACGCAGCAGCAGCAGCCCCAGCAGCAGCACCAGTGGCAACAGCAGCAGCAGCTGCAGCAGCAACAACAGCAGCAGCAACTGCAGCACCAGCAGCAATGGCAGCAGCAGCAACAACAGCAATGGCAGCAGCAGCAGCAGAAGCAGCAGCAACATCAGCAGGAGCAGCAACAGCAACAGCAGCAGCACCAGCAGCAGCAGCAACAGCAGAAGGAACAGCTACAGCAGCAGCAGCAACAACAGCAGCAGGCAGAGTCGAGAAGGGAGCAGATCGAGCAGCCAGAATTTCAATCGGTGCAACAGACACGGGAAGTACCGACTGAAGTGCAGATGGGGAGGGGAGAACAGCAGGCGGATGCAGTGGAGGGGGTTTTGGGTCCGGAGACGAAACAGGGTCAAGAGGCGACGTCTGAGGCAGTGCTGCAGATGATGCAGGTGTGGTCGCAGCAGCAACAGTCCCTGCAGCAGCAGCTTGAGCCACTGGCGAAGCAGCCTCGGCAGGAGCCACAGTCGCTACAGCAGCTGCCGCAGCAGCAGGAGCTTCCAATGCAGCAGCCATGGATGCAACAGCAGAAGCAGCAGCAGGTGCAGCAGCAGCAGCAGCAGCAGCAGCAGCAGCAGCAGCAGCTGGCGCAGGCGCCATTTGTACATCAAGAGCAGCAGGGAATGGAAGTTACGGTATCTAAGGTCAGAGAGTCAAAAGCGTCCGCTGCACCGAGCAATAACCAGGTGCAGACAGCAAGAGCAGGTTCCGAGGTTCCGGTCATGTCTCCTGCACACTCCCATGGGAGCGATGCAGACAAGAGAGCCATTGTGAAAGTTTTGTCAAACAATGAGGTACAGTCGCCACGGAATCTCTGGAACCGGTTTAAGCAGCAAAGGGGGCATATCCAGAGGCATGAAGAGGAGGAGGCTAGATATGTGGAAGCACCTTCTTCTTCCATGAGTACGTCTGGGTCTGGGCGTGAAATGTTGTCGCAGACTTCATTTCCCGACATCAGTTTCAAAGGGCATAACGTTTCAGCGGAAGGGGAGATGCTTGAGAAACCAACGTTCCCTCCGTTGTTCAACGTGTCACGGGACTCTGATGGTGGTACGACCGCCTTCTTGGACGTCCGGAACACTGCCAGTAATAACGGCAGTCGTTAACTTATCAACTATATATTTGATTAATTGTGTCTGTTCATCGGTAGTGGTCGTTATTGAGTTCATCGATTTCATTTTCTGTATCTTTGGCAATGGCGAGATGCTTCAATTCGAGCTTGACACCAAGGTCGTCCCTAGGTTTTGAGCCTGCCTGATGCATCAGATGGCGTGGTTTTTTCTGTCTGATGCATTAGAATTTCCTTCAAAACGTTTCTGCTGAATCAGAAATTTTTAAAATTCAATATCTGATTGGTTTTCTTAGAGCCCTCCTCATTTCACAGTGTTCTGTACCTTCGAGGGAATTTCAGAGACGAACGGGCGACTTAATCTCGAACTCGGACGCTTACCATTGTGAGGCTAGTCGCAACTAACTAGGCTACTTCTGTATACAGTGATAGGGTTAGGAAACGTTCCAGATAACGGGCTTAACTCCATTCACACACGAAACACCCTTCTACACTGATTGATCTTATGAATTCAAAAAACATTTCTTCTCAATCAGAAAATTCAAAAATTCATTTCTGGAAAATCAGATGAACTGGTAAAAATCTGTCTGAATATCGGACAAACAGACAGAAAAATTCTGCTCGCGACGACCCTGCTTGACACGCTCTTGGCGGGAAACCTTCTCTTGGGAATGGGGGGATTAGCCTGTATTGGGGCTTAAGATATCGCCCAAGGATTGGAAACTCTGTGCTGCCACGCATGCACCCTTTGCCCAGGGCATGCGCACAAGAGGAGCATGAGAGTCAGCTAGCAACTGCTCAAATGCATCCTTCATAAGATAATGCTTTATGATGCAATGCCTTCTCCTTAGCAATCCACCAACCTGGAAATCTATTGGTTATGTGATATGATGCTATTGACACGGACACTTGAAGGAGCGCCAAGTTGTTGCTCAACACGAGCCAACCACTCACCCTTCACTTTCTTGGCCTTCCCGCAGAGCACCAGGTTGTTGCTCTCATCCTCAACCCTAAAGTACTTGCCAAAACTCCGGTATGCACCTTCAAGTCTGGAACGTGCCGTGGCCAGGGACAGCGGTCCTGCAATCCTTGAAAACACGAAGCTATAGCGCTTGCGGCGACCTGACTTGTCGCTTGTGATGTTCTTCCACTGAATACCGCCTCCGGCAGTTGTGTTGTCCGTGCAGGAAAATCCCTCCTTTGTGACAGGTTCCTTTCCTCCAGATCTTATGTTCAAGACAGAGTAAAAATACTCGGAATAATATACCGTTGCTGAGTACCTGCAAAACAGGGCTCGGAAGGAAATGGTCGCGAGGCAGAGAGGAGGGGTTGGAGGTGGGGAGGGGGGGGGGAAGGGGGGGAGAGAGAGGGGGAGGGGGGGGGGGGGGTGTGTGGTGGGGGAAAAAAGGGGAAAGTGGGTGGGGATGGGGGCTAACTTGGCACAGTCAAGGGCTTAAATCAGTCCTAGGTGATTGTATGGAACAATAGCACCAGCAGATAGAAATCGCACAGGGACGCACCTGATCACCTTAGCGTAATATTTCCCTGATGCAAGCTTGTCTCCAACCAGCTTCCCTTTGAGCTTAGTAGGACGCAAATGTGCCACGTACTTAACTAGCAATGGGATTTGCAGGGATACGGGCGCATCCGAAAAGACGTGGAGGGACAAACAGTTGAGTCGGGACTAGCATTGCGTCGCGACATGAAACGCCGCCCCTGTGGAACCAGGAATGGCAATGCTGGCGCATCGCATGTACCCTAGGGTGGGACGAGCTGACTTTTGAGTCGCATGTATCCTTGAATGGGATGGGATATGACGCCGAAATGCAGAAACAAATGCAACACATCATCAACACATACATCAAGTACTACACGGGTGAAATTCAACACGGGTGAAATTCAGCATGGGTGAAATTCAACATGGGTGAAATCCAGCAACTCGTAGCAGCCGTACCGCTGGTGTAGTACTAGCGGCAATGAAGAAGCAAAGAGCGCTGCAGGTCGGACACTTACGCACGGTCTTCCCTTTATGCACGGTCTTCCCTTTATGCACGGTCTTCCCTTTATGCACGATCTTCCCTTTATGCACGGTCTTCCCTTTATGCACGGTCTTCCTTTTATGCACGGTCTTCCCTTTATGCATGGTCTTCCTTTTCCACACCAAGGGCTTGGCCTGAGCGGCAGACGGCGCGGCTGACGAGCAAAGCAGTGCACGAGGGAGCATTACATCCGACAAATGAGGGGCGAGAGACGAGACCAACTGAGAGAAAAGACTTATCCGCGCCAGCGTGGTTGGATTCATCATCTCATGATGAGACAAGTGGCAGCGGCGGGGTGGCATCGGCGATCGACCGATGAGGCATGAGTCGATCGGTGATGACCACGGGTAGTAGGAGCAATGCAGGAGAAGACGAGACGAGCAGAGGTGCTTACAGAGCAGGATCAAGACGAGAGGTGCTGCGCGCTCCATGGTGGTACTAGCAGAGGAAGGGCGAACGTGGTGATTCTGACTCTGAAATGAAAATCACCCCGTGCCTGTGAGGCAATTTGTTGCAATACACCACTGCATGATTTCCGGTCCTGTCAGCCTGAGAGGGTTCTGAACGGGATGGGAGGCGTAAGTGCTAGTACAGTAACATCATGGCCCAGCTGCATTGGCGCTTGCAGCTATCTACCCGTCCTCAGCTTCGGCATGCTCGAGGCGATTCAGCGTCGTCACGAGATTGTGCACGAGGAAGGAGCGCGGCGGGGAAAGGAGGGAGGCCGCACGCCTCGGTGGGACGCGGCGCACGTTTCCTCTCCTCTCCAATGTAGACTGTGCCACAGTGGCTGTGCTGTGCTGGAAGTACACATAGCGGCTGCGTCTTCTCTCGTCGCGAAGCGTTGCGCCGCTGGCGGCGCTACTACGCGACGAGAGCTCGCGCGGAAGGGGTGCCACCGCCAGCGAGGGTACCAGCGCTACGCGACGAACTGATGGGGAAGGGCGCCAGAGCTGACGTGGAAGGGGTGCCATCGCCAACGGGTACCACCGCTACGCGACAAACTGATGGGTAAGGGCGCCAGAGCTGACGTGTAAGGGGCGCCAGCGTCGCAACAACTTCGATGATTAGACATCAACATCTTAGGCATATCACGTAACTATGGGAAGGTTGATGTAAGGAATTTTCCCTAATTCCTTTCTCAGTCACACAGTACACATACAGACCCCAACATTTCGGAGTTCAGGCTCGGTCCGACAACCTCGCCCGCCGAACCACCATCGCGTCGCCTTCGGGTTTCCCAACCCCGAACCTGCACCCAGCCATCCGCGGTCCCGTGACCTCGACCTAGCTAGCATTTGCTATATTGGTGCTAGGCTTCATTATTTGTTAAGTTGTTGTTATCACTTCCGCGTTATTGAATCCTGCGCACTCTCTTCATTACAACTCATAACAGTTGGTATCAGAGCTACTTTCCTAGGTTACCCTCGCGTTTCCGAGGTAGTTTGTGTAAGGGGAGCGATTGACTTAGTGGGCTGCAAAGCGGTCGGCCTGTGAAATAGGTACGATTATTTCACTCCGACTACGATAGTG